TCCCATGTAGTCGACTGCGGTTCGCGTCCCGGATCCGGTGACTTAGAACTCACACCGGGCGCGTGTGCGTGCGTGCCCAAGATCCTGAGAGGAGAATGAAGGAGAAGGGATTGCAGCGTGGCCATCCCCCCTGGGGGGTGATTTCTCGCTTTCTGTCTCTAATGTCTCTCTCTGTCGCGAGAACGCGCCCCCTTTAGCGAAAACCTCCCCAAAAAAAAAAAAAAAAAAAAAAAGCCAATGTGTATGTGCCCAAAATCCCAAAAGGAGGGAGATAAGTGAAGGACAAGAGATCCCACCTGACTATTCCCTAGAGAGAGATGCTTCCTCTCTTTCTCCGGCAAGCACATATACCCTCCTCTAGCACATTTTAAAATGTTTTTAATAATTAACTTTTCCCCCTGAGAACACAAGAATGGAGAGAACACCTGCACAAGAGAGCATAAGAGGGGCTGGCAGGTGGTGTTGTGGTTAAAAGCGCTGGGTTCCCATGCGGCTGGCCATAGTTCGAGTCCCAGACCTTGTGACTTGCTTTCTCACTTTCCCTTACTCCTTGGTCAAATTAAAAAATAATAACAACAAATGAAATTAAAAGAGAGAGAGAGATAGCATGAGGGAGACAGGGAGACAGGAAGCCTAGACAAACAAGGATATCGTGCTGTGATCTCCTTGCCCCAGCCCTGTGGCCAGTCAGGAAAACAACCTCTCTTTCTCTCTCTTTTTTTTTTTTTCAGAATTGTCTTTCATTGAACTTTATTTATTTACTTAAAGTTGACCAGAGAGGGACAGAGAGAGAGTGGGGAGTGAGGAGTGAGAAAGCAAGCTGCCAGATCTGGGAACTAAAACCCAAACTAGGAATTTGAACCGCAGTCAGCCATATGAGTCCAGCACCCCTGCCACCTGGTAGCCACCTCCTCCTTTTTTCTTTTTTTTTTAAGTTTTTTTTTTTTTAAGTTTTTTTGCCATAGAGCCAATGCACTTAGAGAGAGAGAAAGTGACAAATCATGGGGGTCACAACATTCATGCCACAATCCCCTCTCCTCTGGTCTCCTCTTGGGAGCGCACGCGCACACACGCTCACACACCCGTGATTTCAGGCCATTAGATTTAGGACTTCAACTGCCGTAGGCCCAAGTGGGAAGTCTAATACCTTAACTACCATGTCACCTACTGGTTCCCACCTTGATTCTTTTGAAGTTGCAGGAGGACAACAAACAGTGGAATCTTCTATGCACAATTTTTGAATCACTGAGACCACTAAATCCCTGCCATAACCCCCACTTCCTCTCCTCACACAACTGTGTTGTGGCTTTCTGAGAGGCCACGGTCAGCCTTAATTAACCCCAACTACATCAAAGAGAACCAACTAGGATAGGGCTGCTCAGGAGATCAATCTGGCCCTCACTCAGGCCACTGTCTACACTGTGTATCCCAAGCAGTCAGACTCAAAAGAGGGCCCCATGCGGCAAAAGACTTTTGAAGTCTAAACAGTACATCTGCACATAATACTAATCTGGATTAGTGCCTACGGGGATGACAGACATTAAAATGTTCTTACTTATCCCTAAACAGTAAGGAATTTTCCTATATTGCCCAAAATTGTGATTCTTTTAGCTAAAGTCAGAATTTCAGGAATCATTTTGGCTAAATATTAATCTTGTTGTTTCTGAGTGCCCCAATTAGAAAGAAACCTAGCTCTCTACTTTCAAATTTAACAAAATACTGTCTACAATGATAACCCAAGTCTTTCTTGGTACTGGCAACACAAGGGTGAACGGATTATTTTAGTTTTCTGGGGGCCGACAGGTGGAGTGGTGGTTAAGGTACTGGATTCCCCATGGCCAACTGCGCAGATTGAGTCCAGGACCCAGAGGATTGAAAGACATGCCAGGTACATGTGTCCGCATATCCAAAATCACAGAGGAGAATGGAGAAAGGATTGCAGCATGGCCACCGCCCTTGCGGGGGTGGGGGGAGTTTCTTAATTTCCTTGTCTCTGACAAGCACATGCACCCTAGACCGAAAATAAAATCTAGTAAGAGTTCTGATTTTTTAAACTTTTTTAATGATAAACAGCAGGTGAGAGAGACAGGGGTTAGAAGAGAAAACAAACACCCTCAACAGGGTCTCTTCATACAGTAATCTCCTTTACCCAGCCCTCCAACTCCTCTGGATCTCGGGGGCACCAAGTACACTCCCAGGCCCACCAGGAGATCCAAACTCAAAGCTACCTGTGTGTCTTCTAGCACTGCTGTCAAGTACACTGCTAACTATGCTATCTGGCTGGGACTAAAATCGTTATTTATTTACTTATTTATTTTAGGTTTTTCCAATTGAGTGCATGTGTTCACCAGAGAGAGACTCTGAAAGGGAAAGGAGAAATCACCCTGGGAAAAAGGGGTGGCCATGGTGCAAGCCCTTCTCTTCTGTTCTCCTCCAGTCACTTTGGGTACACAAACACATCTGCCCAGTATCAATTTCAGGACATCGGGTCCAGGACTCACTCAATCCACAGTCAGCCGTGAGAGTCCAGTACCTTAACACCATGCCACCAGCTGGCGCCCTAAAACCAGGTTTTAAAATTTCAATTTCCATAAAGTTTAAAAACTCTGTTTCTTGGGACCAGCAGTTCGCATAATGGTTATGTCGCTGGAATCCCATACAGTTGACCGTGGTTCGAGTCCTGGACCTAGTAGCTTAACTGCACACCAGGTGCGTGCGTGCGTGTGTGTGTGTGTGTGTGTGTGTGTGTGCGCGCGCGCACGCGCATGCCCAAGATCCTGAGAGGAGAATGGAGAAGGGATTATGGCATGGCCATCTACCCTAGGGAGTTATTTCTTGTTTTCTGTCTCTGTCTCTCTTTTTGGTGAGTGCATGCACCCTTAGCAAAAACCTCTCAAAAACAAACAAACAAACAAACAAACAAAAAAACCCAAAAAAACAAATGGCATAATACCAAATGAATCAATGAGTCTAAGCATTAAGCATCAATGGTTAGTGACATTATCAAAAGAAAGTCAACTAGACAACATCTGCTTATGAAGTGGTCTCATAAAACATAGCAAAAACCCCGAATATGGGAAGCTTTAAGTCCAAGTACTAACTTACTGGAAATACAGAATACATTAAGGTATGCAATCAAAAAAATCCAAACGGGGGAGGGGGGGAAGGGGTAGGAGGGGCTCAGGAGGTGGTGTAGTGGTTAAGGCCCTGGACTCCCACAGCACTGACCATGGTTCGAGTCCCAGATTGGCAACTTGAATATTATGCTGAGCACATGTGCGTGTGCAAACAAAATAACAGGAGAAGAATGAAGGAGCAATCACCCCCCTCGAGGGGGCATTTCTCATTTTCCCTCTCTCTGTCTCTGTCTCTCTCTGGTGAGTGCATGTGCACTATGGCAAAAACGTTAAAAAAAAATCTAAACTGTGAGAATTATTTATTGACTGAAGATCACATTTCAAACAAACTGCTAGAAAATTATGACATTTACTAGACAATTAGAAATGTGAGCACTTACTGAATATTTTATGATATTTATGGTATTTTATTACTTTAGGTAATAAAATAATAAACACAATTATCTTTCTCTTCAAATTCCCTAGGTACCTGGGGCCAGCAGTTAGCATAATGGCTATGTCGCTGGACTCCCATGTAGTCGACCATGGTTCACATCCCGGACCCGGTGGCTTAAAACTCACACCGGGCGCGTGTGCGTGCGTGCCCAAGATCCCCAGAGGTGAATGGAGAAAGGGATTGCGCCGTGGCCATCCCCCCTGGGGGGGTGATTTCTTGCTTTCTGTCTCTCTGTCTCTGTCTGTCTGGCGAGTGCACGTGCCCTATAGCAAAAACCTCTCAAAAAACAAACAAACAAACAAACAAAAAAACCAAACATGCATTAGGTACCCCATAGAGTTCCCGAGTAATACCAGCTTACACCCAGATATTATGAAAAGTATAAGACTGTTGTATTCTCATTTTACACATGACAAAGTAAAGTAAGGGGTAAGTTGAATTATTCAGTAAAGTCACAGGGGGAGTAAGTCACTAGAATTAAAACAAAACAAAAACTCCACAAAACTCTCTTCTGGCTCTCACATGACATGCCATCCATACTTACGCTTTCATGTGTTCTAATCCTATGCCTGTTCACCCACCCATCCTGTCCCACCCCACACATTTCACTAACCACTCACAGAGCACTATTTTTTTTGAGAGGTTTTTGCTATAGGGCGTGTGTGCTCGCCAGACAGACAGAGACAGAAAGACAGAAAGCGAGAAATCACCCCCCGGGGGGGATGGCCACGCCACAATCCCTTCTCCTCCGTTCTCCTCCCGAGATCTTGGGCACACATGCACACACGCCCGGCATGAGTTTTAAGCCACCGGATCCAGGATGCGAACCTCGGTCAACTACATGGGAATCCAGTGACATAGCCCTTATGCTAACTGCTGGTCCCCAGGAGCACTTACTTCTTCAGAGGAATTACACCAAGCAGTGTGGGATAAAAAAAGATGATGAAGACACATGAGTGCATACACTATCTGTAATATTTTACAACTAAACCAGTAGTTGAGCTATCTAGATTTCAGTTATCATATTGAAAAGCAAAATACAGGGGTCAGCAAATGGTTATGTCACTGGTCACCCACGTAGTCAAATGCAGTTTAAGTCCTGGCCCCACGTCTCAAATTTCACTCCGAGCGTGTGTGCGTGCATGCCCAAAATCGAGAGAGGAGAATGGAGAAGGGATTGCGGCGTGGCCATCCCCTCTGGGGATAACTTCTTGCTTCTGTCTCTCTGGCAAGCACATGCACCCTATAGAAAAAACCCTCTCTCTAAAAGAAAAAAGCAAACTACATTTCATTTAACTATTAACCCTTTGATGACCATACAACTCATCACTATGTATCAACAGAAACCCAGCGAACACTGGAACCATGCGGAGACCATCACAGTGGTCACACACGGGAGATCACTTCCTAAATGACATCGAACCTACCGTACTGTCATTGCTGGTGACGTAAACCAGGACATCGGAGGAGTTCCTGCCGCTGATGTATCGGTAGCAGTTCCAAACACAGCTAATCAAGTAACCCTGAAAGCAAAAGGTGGGTAGATTTTTAATTCTCAAGCTGCAGACAACTTAGAATTCACTGATCGATAAAGCTGTATCAAAAAAAGAACTGATTATAAACTGCATGATCTCTAAACAAATGTTACAAAAAAGTTACAAATGTTGGGTAGAGCACCGTTTTGGCAAAGAGGGCAACTATAGCCTTCCGCAACGGCAGCACTGGGTACCAGCCGTCCTGGTGTGGAAGGTGCGGTTACTACCAGAGGGGTGAGAGGACAAACTTCTGATAGTTAGAAAGAACAAACCAGCACAAACATTTATGCCCCCTGAGTTCACAGAACAATTACATTTATTCACGCATCTATCACTGTATTGGACTTTATTTCTTTGGGAATTTGTACTTGATACAATTATCTATGATTTTATTGCACAAGTCAACTTTTAAAGTATGTTTCATAGCATATAAATTATTTCAGTCAATAAAATTCACTAAAACATTTCCATTTACATAATGAACTTCCACAAGACAACACTTAAAATTAATGTCCGGAACAAACATGCTAGAAATAAGGCAAGAGCTCATGGGCGGGATTTAAACTATGAATTCTGGGCACATTCATTCTTTGTTTTCTCTCAAAGACAAGACCTTGCTATGTTGCCTAGGCTGGCCTTGAACTCACAGTTTGCCTGTCTCAGCCTGCAGAGCAGTAGTTACTAGAGGTACTACTGTGCCAGGCACTTTGTACTTTCATTCCAATCACTGAAATAAACGATTTCAAAATCCCTTTCTAGCTGTAAAATTCTATGACTGGGGCCGGAGGTGGTGTGGTGGTTAAGGTTGCTGGACTCCCACATGGCTGACCACAGTTCGAATCCCAGACCTGGTGGCTTGCTTTCTCACTTTCTCTCTCTCTCTCTGTCCCTCTCTGGTAAAATTAAAATACAAATAAAGTCAATTTAAAAAAAAATTCTGTAACTAGAAGAAGTTTAAGTGGGGCTAGCAGATGGTGTAGTGTTTACATCGCTGGACTTCCACACGTGGCCTGTGGCAGTCTGACTCCCAGACCCAGAGGCCTGAAAGTCACTCTGGGAACATGTAAATGCCTGCCTGAAATCCCAAGGGAAGAAGGAAAGAGAGGATTGCAACATGGCCATCCCCCCCAGAGGGTGACTTCTCACTTTCCCATTCACTGTCTCTGTCTCTCTCTGGCAAGCATATATACCCTAAGGCCTTAAAAAAAAAAAAAAAAAGTTTAAGCACATAGACAAACTAGATTGCTGGAATCCAGAACTACATTACTGATGTAAATGCAAAATGATGAAGCCACTTTGAAAACTTTAGCAGTTTCTCAGAGTTTAACAATTACCATTATGATCCCCTAATTCCACTCCTATATATAACCGAAGAACACAGAAATATACTTCATATAAACATCTGTATACAAGCATGCATAGCAGCATTATTCAAAATACCAAAAAAGTGCAAGCAATCAGAACATCCACCACCTGGTAAACAGATAAACAAAAAGGTTCGAGTCCCAGACCTGGTGGCTTGCTTTCTCTCTTTTCCTTTTTCTCTGCTCAAATTAAAAAATAAAAATAACAAGTGGAATTAAATTAATTAAATAATTAAAAAAAAAAACAACTGACACATGGTATAACACATGGATGAAACCTGAGACTACAGTAAGTGAAAGAAACCACTCATAAAGGGGAACCAGCAGTTAGCGTAATGTCTATGTCTTTGGACTCCCACGTAGTCGACCGTGGTTCGAGTCCCGGACCCGGTGGCTTAAATTCACGCCGGGCACGTGTGCATGTGTGCCCAAGATCCCAAGAGGAAAAATGATTGCGGCGTGGCCATCCCCCCGGGGGGTGATTTCTTCTTGCTTTCTGTCTCTGTGTCTGTAGTCTGCAAGCGCATGTGCCCTATAGCAAAAATCACCACCCCCCAAAAAAAACCCACTCATAAAGGACCACAAATTGTATGACTATTTAAGAAAATGTGCAGAATAGGCACATTCACACAGATAAAAAGTAGATTGGTGAGGGGCCAGCAGTTGGCATGGTGATTAAGGCACTGGACTCCTCACATAGCCAACCACTTTTCAAGTCCTAGACCCAGTGCCTTAAAAATCATGCTGGATGTATGTGTGGGCTCAAAATCCCTGGAGGAGAATGGAAGAGAAGAGACTGCAGATTGGCAAACTCCACTCTCCCTCTCTTTGGCAAGAGCATATGATCTATGACAAGACCCTTAAACAAAAAAAAAAAAAATCACCCCCTCGGGGGTGGGGGTACGGCAGTCACGCCACAATCCCTTCTGCTCCATTCTCCTCTGAGATCCTGAGAACGCATGCATGAGTTTAAGTCACTGGGTAAGGCACTTGAACTGCGGTCAACTACATGGGAATCCAACGACATAGCCATTACGCCAACTGCTGGTCCCCAATTACGTTTTTCTATAAAGTTCTCTCTCTCTCTCTCTTTGGCTATAGAGCGTTGTGCTCAGCAGAGAGACATTAAGAGAGATCAGTTAAGAAAATGCCCACTAGAGGGGATGACCACACCACAAACCCTCATTAATCTTTCTCCCCTAAGAATCGAGAGTGGCGGGCATGCATGCATACATGGCCAGCATGTTTTCCAAACCACTGGGTCTAGGACTCCAATCATACAGTTGGCCGGCCTCATGAGACCCAGTCACCTCAACAACCATGCCACATAGCTGACCCTCCAGAAACCTTTTTAAATTTAATTTTTAAAGAAATATTAATGTAATTCTGTTTATCATTACTATTTTTAAATTTTATTTATTTATTTTAACTTGACCAGAGAGGGACAGAGGGAGAGAAAGTGAAAAATCAAGTCACCAGGAATGGGACTCACATTGCAACTGGCCACTTGGGACTACAACGCCCTTAACCATGACGCTACCTGTCAGCCCCTAGTATTACTAATTTCTTTTTTACTTTGCTAGAGGGCACATGTGCTCATGAGAGAAAGAGAGAGATAGAGAAGGAAAATGAGGGGACCAGCAGCAGATAGTATAATGGTTATATCACTGGACTCCCACATAGTTGACTGCAATTCAAGTCCCAGACCCAGTGGCTTAAAATTCATATCAGGTGTATATGTGTGTGTGCTCAAAATCCTGAGAGGAGAATGGAGAAGGGATTGCAACATGGTCACCTCCCCAGGGGGCTGATTTCCCGATTTCTGTCTCTCTGGCAAGTGCACATAGCAAAAAGTGTTCTTGGGAGAAAAAAAGAGGAGGAGAAAAGCAAGTTGCCAGGCCCAGGACTTGAGCAGCGGTCAGCCACATGGGAATCCAGTGCCTCAACCACCACTCCAACCGCTGGCCCCTTTATTTATATATTTTTAATTTATGAAAGAATGGGTGTGCACAGAAGAGAAGGAGAGGGACAGGAAGGAGATGGGAGGAGAAAAGCATTCTTGTCAAGGTCTCCTCCATCTACAATCTCTATATATAAAAAAAAGGCACTTAAGGGACCAGCAGTTGGCATAACAGCTATGTTGCTGGACTCCCATGTAGCTGACTACAGTTCAAGTCCCAGACCTGGTGGCTTAAACTCATGCCAGGCACGTGTGGGTGCGTGCCCAAGATTCTGAGAGGAGAATGGATTGCAGCGTGGCCATATCCCCTGGAGAGTAATTTCTTGCTTTCTGCCTCTCTGTCTCTGTCTTTTTGGCAAGGGCATTTGCCCCATGGCAACCCCCCTCCCCCGCAAAAAAAAAAAAAGGGTACTTAAGAACAAAGGAGTAAAATAGCCTGTTAAATACTCAGAATGCTAAGTTGCCCCCCCCTTTTTTTTGCCAGAAGACACTCGTGCTACTGAGAGACAGAGAGAGGGAGAAAGCATCCCCTAACAGGGCACAGTCATGCTGCAATTCCTCCTCGATCTCTCCCCCCAGTTTGGATTCGGGGCATACATTGACATGTGTGTCAGGTGCGCTTCCCAAGTGGTCAGGCTGGGATCCATGTGAGCTCTGACTCCCTTAACCACCAGGCCAAGGGACAGGCCCTCTTAACACTTTAGATTGCCATAGGCACATGTGCTTGACAGAGACACAGAGAGGTAAAATGAGAAGTCACCCTTTCCCCGGGGAATGGCCACACCACAATCCCTTCTCTAGTCTTCCCTCGGGATTTGGGCACAAATACACACGTGATTTTCAAGCTGCCACGTCTGGGACTTAAACCACATAGTCGGTTCTGTGGGATCCAACCACCAGGCCATGTAATGGCCCCGTTACCACTTCTTCATTGGAGAAAAAAGTAACTTTTAAGGATTTCACGAAAACAGAAAAGGAATGTTTTGAACACATTAGTTATGTGTTCATGTAAGGCCATCCATCGTTTTAGGAAGGAACAGGAAATTCCTAAATGTAAACACTCTCCTAGATCTGAGGACTTTAAAATAATACGTATTCGAGAGGCTAAAGAGCAAAAGGGAAGTGGCTGCTGTCTGGGTCTCCACAATGAGCACCCTGGGGTCTGCTGCAATAGCGCACATATTATCTGACCACCTGCGCCGCCAGAAGAGAAGCCTCTGCCTGCCACCTCTAAAAAACCTGTCGCTTTTTTTAGTGACTGTATTTCTTATTTGACATTTCTATCATCTTGAACTTCAGAATTAAGTATTTAATATACTATCCAAATAAACCTCCCTTGACATACTCCTTCCTTTAGCTGGATGGTAAGCTTTGCTTCCTTTTCTGTTTCAGGACAAAGAGACACCGACAAAAATCCCCACTCAGGGCTCTCGAGAAACTCTGTAGCAAAAAATCTCATGAAAAGATAACAAGCAAATTTAGGGAAAAAAGCCACTAACCCAGTAAACTGTAGGGTGAAACCCTAACACGTACACTCACATTAATTTAAAATAATAATTACTGAGTCTCGAGGTACAAAGCATTTACTTATTACTTAAAGGGACAAAAAAAAATGGAGGCATTGACTCCATTCTCTTGTAGAAATACAATCTAATCAATGCAGGAAACAACTATAAATAACATTTCTCTGGGGTTGGAGACAGTGATGTGAACAGGTTGCATGGTGCCTTTTTGCCTTAGGTAACTGATCATTTTTGCGTGGTCCTATTTATAAAAGTACTACTAGGCAGGAATTGTTCTTTTTCACTAGCAAACCCCAGTGCCTAGAATAGAGTCTGAATCACAGGAGAGACTTGATCAATATTTACTAAATAAATGAACAGATGATGCACACCTAGTCATCCACTATCTCACGGAAGTATTGCAGTTACCTGCAAGATGTTTTATCAATAGTTTTCATACTAAGCATTTTATTATATGCTGATGTCACTATGCATAAGATAATTTTCCTTGTGAAATAGAAATTTAGGAAAACTCAGAGAGGTAGACGTTAAGTAGAGTTTTGTATATTACGGCACATACATTAAAAGAATAAGCTTTTGTGTAGGCTTCCGATTTAGCTCTCTTGAATATCCTCTGGTTCATGAGAAGTGCCTTTGGAAACCTTTGAAAGATTCTTTTTACTACAAAAAGGAACAGACTTTCTGGGATCTGAAGGGATTTGTACTTGAAGACACTCCAGTCAGCAAGGGGTCATGCGGAGCACTGCTGACAGAATTGTTTCAAGTTCGCGGCTGCCTGGGAAACCAGCCCCGACTTCAAATGAAAATGCCTACAAAATTAAAATACCAGGCAAACCCTGAAGTACAGTGGATAGGGACTACGCATAGGAAGCCAGTTCCCATTTGGCCCACCACAGTTCAAACCTCGGCCCTGAGTGTGTATGCCTATATTCCCCAAATCCTGATGGTTTGGAGGATAAAGGACAGAATTTTGAAAAAGGCTTGCGACATCAAGTCCCATTGTCAGCAGCCCCCTCCCCGCCCCTATTCAAGTGCACATGAACTTCTGTAATTAAAGAAATTAAAAATGCCTTTTTAAAAACCACTGAGAGGTTTAAAATGATAAGATCTAGAATGTATGAATGCACACAGCAGGAAAGAGTAACCCAAAGCAGAAAAAGTCAACCTGGAGTTGAAAGAAACTGGAACAGGGGATTTGAGAGTGCCCTTGGCCAGCGAGCACCACCGACTCTACATGCAGTGTGGCTGGTTGACAGCCCTGGGTTCACAGGGCATGTGGAGCTGGATGAGAACCTAGAGCACTGGCAGCTGCAAGGCAGGCAGCCCCAACACAGGCATATGACATTCACCCACATCCTTAACCCCTAAGCTACGCGTGCAATTTAAGTGGTATTTTATGGGGAGATTCAGACTCATGGATTTTCTTTCAAAGAATTATCGATTTATTTATTTACTTACTTAATCTGAACAGAGAGACAGAGAAACAGAGAAGGAAAGGGAAAAAGCCAGCCACCAGATCCAAAATGAACAGCAGTCGGTCATGTGGGAGTCCAGCACTTTAACCACCACAACTTGCTGGGGCCCCAGATTCACTGATTTTCAATTAATTATTCTTTCTAATCCCCTTTATTATAACACCTACCTTAAATGACTTTTTTTCCCTAAATTCAGCTTCTTTAAGCTGTGGCCTAATTTTTGATGAATGAGGTCAATTTGTGCCAAAATAAAGTCAACAAAGGCACTGAGATTTTAAAGGTCAAAGCCTAAATGGGGTTTCTCCATGTACTGTCAGGTGTGAGGCCATTAAAAAGACAACTATGTATCCTGAATTGAGGAGCTAAACAGGTAATAGAAAGTACTTGGTATCTGGGCTGCACAGTCCTCAGTGAGCATCCTCAGGTGCGACACCAGGCACACTCACTGACCATTCGCACCAACAGGAGAAGAACCATCAGGGACGTCCTGTCAGCGGCGCACACACACACAAACCTACAATGCTTCTGTAACCAGACTGACATACGAAAATGAACACACAGCACTTGATGTAGGAGAGGGAACGGCAGGTCATTTAACTTTGAGGGGATCAATCTGACAACCTATTTTAAGTCTTCGAACTATACACAACCACTGATTTTAAGAAATACATCTCATGGAAATAAACACTTAAGCATACAAGGATGTAGTTAATATATTAATTATAGCACTATTAATAAGGGGAAACGTGGAGCCGGCAGGTGGCATGGTGGTTAAGGAGATGGATTCCCACATGGCCGACTGTGGTTTCAGGCCTGGAACTAGAAGGTTGCTTTTTCACTTCTTCCCCTCCTTTTCCCCACCCTGACCCCCGGCTCTCTCTGGTAAGCACGCATTCCCTAAAGCAAATTGTTAAAATTGTTAATACTAATAAAAAATTAATCTTAAAAAAAAAAAAAAGGTGAAAAGGTAGAAACCATCTCAATGTCAGCAAGAGGTAATTTATTAAATAAGTACATTCACAGAATTATTAGTATAGGACATTAAGCTAGCACATTTTAGAAACAAATTACAAATGGAATATCCATAATAGACATTGCATCGAACACTGCTCTATTACACTGTTGGATATATTATGTAATGTATATTATTATTATTATTATTGTTATTATTTCCCACCTACACATTTTTTTGGAATAACCCTTGACTGGCCTGTGGAATGTCTAATCAACGTATCTCTCTAATCCAGGAAACAGAAGGAACTGTAATGACAGGAATTCCAAGGTAGCTCAGAGCTCTCTAAATCAAAAGGACAAACTGAACAAAGTTCACTGGCATTCCTTTGGGAACAGGAATACATTTAAAAATACTTGTTAGTCCATAAGTTAAATCTCCTTGCTTACCTTAAAAGTCAAGATAATGCTGATAAACAGAAGAATAATGAGGACCAGCCAGGTAGGATTCACCGACATGATATCATCTCTGTAGGGAAAAAAAAGGAGGCTGCAAGAACAGAAGGATCTCATTAGCACAGCTCGTTAATCATCTGAGATTACATTTCTTAAGCGCCAATTCAGAAGTGCTCATTGGAATGCATTAGGTTGAAGGAGATATTTAACACCAACACAAAATTTGTCCAGCTCTACTAATGGGAAAAAAAAAAAAAAAACACAAATGGTGCAATGGGGAGAGGCTGGTCTGCTCCTAATTCAGGCAATCACTCACAAAAAGAAAACTCAAGGGACAGGCACCTGTGAGGCCTGCAAGCATAACTTGGCTCTCCGACTACACAAATGCTAGGAGTCAGTGGTCTGTTTCTAAGGATATTTTGTACGTCTTGGATATTTGGACTTTCTGCAAGTTCTAGACAATTCTAAAGTATATGTACAGGGCAAGGGGGAGAATCCTATTAAAATGGTATCTTATAGAGAGGAATTTTGCTGATGTCACTTCAGAACAGAGAGCAGATTCTCTCATACTAATAGTTATTTATGACATTTAACAAACCAAAAAAAGCCATACAACACTGATTAACTACCAGACAGAAGAAAGCTTTCTAGGAGGATCGAGGTCTGCTGGGATGGTCAGTGCAAGTGCCAGGACTTCCCCCATGCAATGCCTGGCCTAGCCCTGATTAGGTCTAGATGACTGGCCCTACCTAGACCAGGAAAGTGGAGAGGGAAAGCAACCAGGGCTGTGTGTGGGTGGGAACATACATGCGAGGGGAGAAGGGTGACAAGGGCGGGTGTAAGCGAGAAAGCGCTCCCATCACAACGCAATTCCTTCTACTCCATGTTTCCTTTCGGGGTTTTGAGCAAGCACACACACGCCCCATTCAGTGTGATTCTCAAACAAGGTCCAGGACATGAACCACGCAGTAGGCCATGTGAGATCGGGCTACCATAACTACCACAACACCAACTGGCCCCATGAGTAGCAATCTGAGACCTAAAGATGTTTCCAGGAAGATTCTGGGGAAAACTCTATGACTTGGTGTCTAGCTCCGATTTTAGGGTCCCAGGATGAACACCATATAATGGTTTTCAGTCTCCCACCACTTACGGCAAAACATGTTAGAAATAAAATCAACCTGGGACCAGTAGTTGGTGTAATGGCTATGTCGCTGAACTCCCATGTAGTTGACCGCAGTTCAAGTGCTGGACCTGGTGGCTTAAACTCACACCCGGGTGCATGCACGTGCATGCCCAAGATCCCAAGTGAATGGAGGAGAAGGGATTGCAGCGTGGCCATCCCCCCTGTCGCTTTCTGTCTCTGTTTCTGTCTGTCTGGAGAGGGCATGCAGCCTAAAGCAAAAACCTCTAAAAGATAAAATAAGAATTATTTTATTGAACTTTATTCATTTATTCCAATTTGGCCAGAGAAGATAGGGGAGTGAGAAAGCAAGCCACCAGGTTGAACTTGAACTGCGGTGGGCCATGTGGGACTCCAGTGCCCTCAACCACCAAGCCACCTGCCGGCCTTATGGTGAGCGCATGCACCCCATAGCAAAAATCTCTCTCTCAAAAAAAAGTAACTTGGAGCTGTTCACAAAGCCACCAGAAGTTATGCTGTTCCTATGTATACTTTTAAAAAAGAGATTAAAGTGCAAACATCTGACATAAAGATCTTTACACTCTTCCCTTATAAAAGGAAACAGTGATATCCAGTGGAGATATATAAAGATACGACTTCTTTAACTGAGCATTATAGGACTCCACTCCTCTGGCCTCTCAGGTAAGTCTTTCCACACTCCCATCTCAATCTGTAAACCGGGCGTCCGTATCAGTGCAACTTTAACACACCCATTCGCTGCTGTCTCTTTTTAGGTTTTTGTCGTAGGGCACATGAGCTTTGCCAAAAAGACAGAGAGAGAGAGAGAGACAGACAGGACAGTGAGAAATCACCTCCCACAGCCTCTGGGGCGGGGGAAACAGCTATATCACAATCCTTTCTCCTCCACTTTCCTCTCAGGAATTTAGACATGCACGTACACGCTCCTGGCATGATGTTCAAGTTGCCAGGTCCAGGACTTGATTTGCAGCAGGCCATGTGAGGGTCCACAGCCTTAACCATCACACACCACGCAGTGGCCCCCATTGCTGTCTCAAGCACTGTGACAGGCCCTGTGATAAGCTGCAAGCCTCACTCTTTCATCCCACATGGACCTCTAAACAGAACATACGGAAAGTGTTCACTTACGTTACTTGGCTTATAATTAAAAATAAAAGTGGATAATCAGTCACCATTGCCAGCCATGTCCTTCTACCACTAACGGCTCTAAAAGAAATGAGTACAGAGTGACAGAGTACTGTGGAGCTCAAGAAGTCTGGGGAGAGTCCTCAGTGTTCACACACTGCCTATCAGGCTTCGCCTTCATGTTCCTCATAAACTTCTGCAATGTGTGGAATGCAGCACACAACATACCGCTCCAATAGTCAAGAGCTGCCAGATGACTCTCTTCCCCTCTCTCTAATCTCTACCACCCTGCCCCACCCTCTCACATGACCGATCACGTTTCCCTCCTCACTTCCAGGGGACTGGGGGAGCACAGCAACACATCCTCATTGCACAGTCTGTAAGAATGGGCTCCTCAAAGTACTTAGGCACAGAGGTAATCTCACAGCCTGCTCATCGCAGACAGACAGCCTCGTGCAGAGACACTTGGCTGTAGCACAAGACGTAATATATAAAGTGAGCTTAGGGGAAACTCAAAAATTGTCTGAGGCTGTATTCTACCGATATAAAACTATTTTCTAAAACAAAGAAAAGCTACTACTAACAAATGACAACCCCAACAACAATGAATTTTTAAGGACCAAAACACTGGGGGCTTTTTGTCCTAGGACTGCCGGGTACCAGTTGCAGGATCCGGGCATGACTAACACGCGGGTAACGAGTTTCTACTACCCATTTTCCTACCTCTTTCCGGCCCCTCTGAACCACTCATTTTCACTGAACCTCTCCGCCCAGCCCCCACCAACCAAGGAAAACACTCTGTGCTCAGAAACTGTAAGAACTCCCCGCAAGAGTGAACATTCTGTTTAAAACACTGCAAGAGTTTGCAAAATTAAACTTATGGTATGTTCACAATTTTTTAAAAGGGGGCTTGGGGCCAACAGGTGGCATGTAGGTTAAGAGGGCTGGATCCCACATGGCTAACTGCACGGTGGGAGTCCAAGCCCCGGCAGCTTGAAAAACATGTAAGGCACATATGTGTGCACACCCAAAATTCCAAAAGGAGAATAGAGAAGGGACTTTGGTGTGGCCATCACCCTTACAGGTGATCTCTCACTTTCTCTCTGTCTCTTATCTGGTAAGCTCACTTGCCCTGTTAACAAAACTAAAAAACCACGTACAAGACTGAAAAAGAGCACAGAAGTAACCCAGCTGTAACCACTATAAGCTTAATAGTTGGCCACAAATAATGACTCATGTGGTCACAAAGGACGTTTAATTGGAAACAAGTGCCAAAATGGTGCCTGAGGAATAGGGAGATTTTTAGGGTCAGGTCCGTTGGGGAACAACTGTATAGCTGAGTTCCACTTCTCACATCAAACAGCAGGGGCAAGGAAAAAAAAAAACTATTCTTTGCCAATAACTGTGCAAATCGCCTTTGACAAAATAACACTATGAAAAGGTAGATTATAATTTAGGTAAGCAAAATTAATACTATCTCTATCACTCTCGGGTTCAGAAAGGTTAAAATTTCCTAAAAAATTTTCTAAGAAATCAGCAGTAACTGGGTAATATTTAAGCCAACTGGTAGCTTAGTGGTGAAGGCATTTGGATCCCAGAGAGTCAACTATGCAGTTCAAGTCCCGGACTCAGGAGCTCCAAAAACCTGCCAGGTATGTGGGCATGTGTGCTCAAAATCCTACTAGAAGAATTGAGAAGAGACTGTGGTATGGTCACCCCCCCTAGAGGGATGATTTCTCACTTTCCCCCTCTCTGCCTCTCTTTGGCGAGTGCACACGCCCTCTGATCAAAAGTTAAAAAGAAAGAAAAAGACATTCAAAAAATCTCTTATCAGCAAAAGTTAAAGAATAACAGATTAATGTGTGTGTCGTCTACCTCTATACTGCGGTGTCCCTACTTACTTAACCAGGACTTCCTAATAAAAAGCAGCAGAAACAGCCAGGGCCACATACCAGCTGCCGGATGTACTCCTGGATGGAGTTTGGATAAACAAGCACGGTGATTGCAACCAAGGTGTTCAGGGCAAAATCGAAGACTTGGTAACAGAAGAATGGGATGATCCAGGCGGCGTGTTGCTAAACATGAAAGAAAATCGAATATTAATGTGCTGGATATTATGAAACACTGCTGAATTCAAAGCAGTCTTTTATTAGTCTGAAGGGAAGTGAAAGAACTGAAATTCATTAAACCAGGTTATGATGAAAACTGGTATGCCAAATAATAGTCAATAAAGAAGCTTCGGTGAACATTTCTGGGGCTGTAGTATTGGTTTTATTGGTTTTCTTAGTACCACGTGATATTGATGAGATTTAAATTTCCAAAGATTCTTAGAAAGTTTGGGAACAATGGCACTTTTTACTTATTATACACAGCTGTACAGACTACAGGGATAAAGGACTACAGAGAAGCCCCAGCACCCTACCACAGGTTGCTCACCTTGTATGCTCCGTAAGTCGCCATGGCACATATCAGGATCATGAAAAGGGAGATAGCGATAGCAATGCACATGTCTGCAGAAGGGGAAAATGAAAAATGAAATAAGTCAGTAATGGATCCACTGTTCCAGACACTTTCAGTCCATCTTCAAAGGCATTTTATTTACATACCAATTGTAAGTGAAAACATTATACTGAATAAACCACCAGAGTTCCTTTGGAAAGTGAGACAATAACAGCTACTGGAGGAAATGGTTAAAGACATTCTCACTAAACAATATGAATGACAGGAAAAAAAATGACTTAAGAAATAGGAAATGGACAATGGTTACAGATTACAAAAAAAAAAAAAAAAAAAAAAAAAAAAAAAAGACAAGAAAAAACTCTGGGGGCCAGCAGGTGGAGCGGTAGTTAAGGGTGCTGGACTCCCACATAACCAACCAAGGTTCAAGTCCCAGACCTGGCAACTTGCTTTCTCACTTTCCCTCTTTCACTATTGCTCTGCCCCTCTCTGGTAATATTAAAATTAAATAAATAAATAATTCTTTTGGAAAAAAACAACACTTTTGGGACCAGCAGTTGGTGTAATGGCTATGTCGCTGGACTCCCATGTAGTCAACTGCAGTTCGAGTCCTGGACCCAGTGGCTTAAACTCACACCAGGTGCATGTGCATGCGTGCCCAAATCCTGACAGGAAAATGGAGGAGAAGGGATTGCGGTGTGGGCATCCCCTCAGGGGGGTGATTTCTCACTTTCTGTCTTTCTGGTGAGCGCATTCGCCCTACAGCAACCCCCCCCTCCGCAAAACAAACAAACAAACAAAAAACACAACTTTTGTCTTCTGGTCCACTGAATTACGTAAGTAATGAACTGAATATTCATTTGAACCTTTTTTTTTTTTTAAGGTTTTTGCCTTAGTGTGTGCACTCTCTGGAGCGAGAGACAGTGAGAGGGAAAGTGAGAAATAATCTCGCAGGGCGTATGGCCAGGCCACAGTCCATTTTGTTCCATTCTTATCCTTGAATCTTATGTGTGCACATGAGCACCTGGCATGATTTTCAAATCACCAAGTCCAGGACTCAAACTGGTCGGCCATATGGGAGTCCAGCGACGTAACTGCTACACCATCTGCTGGCCCTATTATTAATTTGCTATAGGGTGCCTGCACTCACCAAGTAAGAAAATGCCCCCAGGAGGATAATCAATCCACAGTCCCTTGAATTCTCTTCTCAGGATTATGGGCATGCACATATATGCACCAGTGTGTTTTTCAAGGTGCTAGGTCCAGGACTTGAACAGTGCTGTTGGCCATATGGGACCCAACCACTTAGCCACCAGGCCACCTGGCTAACCCTGAATTAGATATTCTTTCCTACACATACAGGTGTCTAACTCGTATTTTTTTTAATAATTATTTTATTTAACTTTATCTATTAATTTGTTTATTTCAATTTGACCAGAGAGAGACAGAGACAGAGAAAGAGAGAGAGAGAGAGAAAGCAAGCTTTCGGGTCCAGGACTCAAACCACTGTCAGTCATGTGGGAATACAGCGCCTTTAACCACCATGCCACCTGCCAGCCCCTCTAACTTGTATTTATAAGCTCATGCATGCCTCTTGGCTCTAATTAAATCCTTCCCAATGCTTCTCATCTTAAAATAAAATCTCCATTTCTTGTCTTGGCCATGTCCCTGTTTATTCTAAAGCATGCCTACCTCTCTACTCTTGCCTCACCTCGACCCATACTCTCGCATGCTATGATCCAGCCATACCAGTCGGTTCATTAAGCCCAGCAAGGCCGTGTCATCTCAGGGCCTTTTACTTGCATTTCCCACGGATCAGAGGAAACGTCACTCATCTTTTCTCATGATGAGCTCCCCTGCCTTTATTCATTCAACTTCCAGCTCACCATCAGCACCTCAGAGAGTGTCTCTGAGCAATGAAGCCAGTGTCGCCATCCCAATAGCTATGACACTGAAACCAAGCAAGGACTCCCTAGAAAGAGCTAGGCCCTCGGTTTCCCTTTCTCCTAAGGGAAAAATGAAAATCTCTCAAACTGAAAAGTCACAAGGGATAAGCTAAAAGTAAAATCTAAGAGGCTTGGAATGCAAGGTGCATTTAAATTTTAAGGTCCTAAATTAAGACTTGAGAATTTGGTTATGGTAATTAAGTAACACTGGCCATAAATGGAGGCCTTAAGATTTTTTCAACTCCCACTTAAAGATTAAGGTTTTAAATTAAATTCTTAAGATGTTTTACATGATCGAAAACTGCTGGCTGTGAGCACACAGGTCCCAAGCTGAACTGTACCAGAAACCTGATGACTGACTTCCCCCTCCAAGAGCAGAATAAGGTGACCCAAGGCCCTGCCTATCTTGAAAGCTCAGGAGATGATCACGGCTTCCGGAACTGATCACGCACCCGGGACTTCAAACCTTAATTGTGCACTAAAATGTGAACTGTGAGGAACTCCTCCGGTGACTGGGCCTCTCCAGCATGAGCGACTTGCCTTGCACAAGGCAATACAGCTGCACTTTCCATCATCACACCTTGGGTCTAGTTTTGCTACAGCAAAGCAAACTCGGTTTCAGTTCCATAACCATGGAAAAGACTCTGAAATGAATCCTATCCACCAGATAACCCTGACATCTAGGTGACAAATGCCCAATACAGGAGCCACTGCCCCACATGGACACTGAGCACCTGGAATGATTCACCTATCACCCTGAATTGAGATAGGATGAAAATTTCTTTTGGAGAGGTTTTTTTTATATAGGGCACATGCGATCACCAGAAAGAAAGAGACACAGAAAGTGAGAAATCACTCCCCAGGGGGGATGGCTACGCTGCAATCCCTTTTCCTCCATTTTCCTCTCGGGATCTTGGGCACACAAGCACACGTGCACGGCTTGAGTTTAAGCCACCGGGTCTGGAACTCAAACCGCAGTCGACTACATGGGAGTCCAGAAACACAGCCATTGTGCCAACTGCTGGTCCCTAGATAGGCTGAATTAACATACAGTCCTGATTTCAAGGACTGGATAACAAGGACAGACTGTAAGGAATCTCAGTTTCACCTGATGACAAACTGAACTGATACTATTTGGGACATACTGTGTTAAATAAAATTAAATTCAATCTCACCTCTTTCATTTTACCTTTTTAATGTGGCTACAAGAGAGTATGAAAGTATACACGTTCTCACATGTTTCTACTGATCACTGCTGCTGGTCTAGAACAATGCCTACATCACGGTAGGTACTGACATTTACTCAAGGTCTGATCACCATATCTGTAATAACAGATTCTGATTAGAAGTATGGCATGAGTAGGGTTCTCTTAAAGAATTATTTAATTTTTATCTGTTACTAGTATTAATTTTTATAAGAATTATTATTTATTTATTTTTAAAATTTTGACCAAAGAGAGACAGAGAGAAAGTGAGTAAGCAAGCCACAAGGTCTAGGATTCAAAATGCAGTCAACCATGTGGGAATCCAGCATTATTAGTATTATTTGACCAGAGGCAGAGAGAAAGGGAAAGCTACTAGGTCCAGGACTAGAACTGCAGTTGGCCATGAGGGAATCCAGTCCCTTAACCACCAGGCCACCTGCCAGATCCATGACGACGTTTTGAAAGGCAGTATGTGGGGTTATCAACATGCTTAAAGAACACACAATCTAGATAGGACATGTAGAGTACTTGATCATTTTCAAAGATGCCTGTTGAGTCTCCCTAGCTCTGAGGGACATACTATTCTTCCTACAGAACAGTTTATAGAAGGAAGGTTCTGAGGTTATGTAACTTGCTGAGAAACTGCTTACATCAAACGGCTGAACTACAGACCAGCAGATGGCGTAATGATTTCATCACCGAATTCCCACATGGTCGACCATGGTTGAGTCCTGGATCTAGAGGGTTGAAATTCACACGAGGCGTGTGTGCATGCATGCCCAAAACCCTTAGAGAGTGGAGGAAGAGGAACTGTGGCATGGCCATCCCCCCCAGGAGGGGTGACTTCTCACTTTCTGTCATTCTGTCCCTCCAGCGTGCAAATGCACCCTATAGCAAAACTCTCTTAAAAAAAAAAAAAAAGGCTGAACTTGACTCATTTGCTCTGATGATTTCTAATCTCTGGCTCTACTATAATACATTAATATATACTACGCTGCTTCTCTTTAAGGTTTAAAACCCAGCCAATGAACCAACCTAGGCTCCCACTTACCACAGGTATTTCTCAAAGAATTCATGTTTTAGAATTATTCTTTATATCCACAGAGGCAGTTGGCAAACACAAAAGGAGACGATGAAAGTACAAAAAATGCTCATAGATCAAAAAGAACTATTTGCTATTGTAAAACAGTTCAGCTTCCAGGTTAAGCCTTGTAGCGTACTGGTTCAAGAGCCAGATCAGAGGCCAGCAGTGGAGTAGCAGTTAAGGCGCTGAACTTCCACATGTGGAATTCTAGTCCCAGACCCAGGGCAGCTTGAAATTCATGCCAGGCATGCATGCACGTATGCCCAAATTCCCAAGGGGAAAATGGAGGGAAAGGGACTGAGGCATGACCATCCCCCTTGGGGTGTAATTCTCACTTTCTATCTTTGTCTTTCCAGTGAACACAGGCACCCTACAGCAAACATAGCTCCCAACAACAACCACCAAAAAAGAGCCAGATGGAATACCAACCCCAGTGGTTTGAGAAATATACGAGGTATGTTTCTGTGTGCTTGTGCACTTGCCCCAAATCCCAACAGAATGTAGCAATAGAGAACATGCACATGAGTATGCTCCATTGGCGGGAGCTTTTCCTCCCGTTGTCTTGTTACGTCTTTCGCCCTCTCTCTATGGAGAGCACGTATGTCCTCTGGTAATTCTTCTTAAAAAGTGGAAAGACCAGAGGGTCGCACAGTGGTTAGTTACATCGCTGGATCCCCACATGGCTTAGTAAAAGATTTGACTCCTGGGTCCAGCTTGAAAACCTGGAAGGGCATATCCAAAACTCCGTAGGTGCATCAGGCATTTTTCCTTATTTTCCTCCCTTTCTTCATGGGATTGTTGGCGCCTCCTTATCCTCA